GGAGGTTATGAAGAGCAACTTTCATTAAATAAAAATACAATTCAGAAAAGAAAGCAAAAATGCTATACAGAGCTCCCTTTATAGAAATGTAAGAGAGCTGGGTTAATAATTAGCAATGATTTGCATATCTACAAAGCTGACTTGGAGTTGAGTAGACCAAATATAATTTGTGTAAAGATTGTACTAAACGCTGCTAATTCACAGCTTTGATACTTGGCAAAATTTAATTACAAGGATTAATAATCTCAAGACTACATTTCTGAGTACATATTAAAAGGCAAGCAAATCCACTAATTGATTAATGAAATGCTACTTAATAATCTTTTAAACTGATTTAACATTTTGAATGTAAGATAATTGTCATTGCCTAAGATAATCAAGTTAAAATTAAATCACCTCTGCATTTGTGATTCTTTCTATACAGCACTTATTTAGGCAAGCATTAACTTTGCAAGTTAAACACAAGCAAGTGTACTTGGGGAGGGAGGAGTTTCTCTTTTAATTTGAAAAAGGTTTGTTTTAAGCTATCTTTAGTAATTCAAATAAAATCCAACATAGTACCAGTGAAACCTAATGAAAAACTTTGCTAATTTTTTCTTTGTGAAATTAAACCCTTTTACAAAACTGCAACTAAATAATCTTCCTCACCATCCTGACAACCTCAACACAACTGAAAATGCACTAAGCTCCAGAGATAGCACCAAAAGATTATGCTGTTACATAAACTCCACAGTGCCCAGGAAACAAAAATGCTTGTATACAAAATTGAGATAAACTGTCAGAGGAGTGTCACAGTAAACAATAGCTCCCTGTCAGAACCTCACCAGAATGCACTGGACCAGCTGTTACAGCACTCCTGATGAACTCTCTCCAAGCCCAGTCACTGAAAACATGACTAATATACAATCACCCAGTACTGTTAGTACTGGTGTTCTTCAGAATAAACATTATTCTTGGCTGTGTGAGCTACTGCTGCATAATTCTGACAACATCTGTTATATTAATAACAATATCACTATTTCACTCAGAAACAGCAAAAGAAAAAAGTGCTAACTAGTCTAAGTAAGGAATAGTTAAAATAACCTGATTCTCTAAATAAGAATATCACAAAGGAAATTGTTTTTGAAAACATTTTAACACCAGCATAAATTTTAGTAAAAATGCACAAATATGTATATTTAAATTTTGTTCAAAATTAAATCTAAAAATAAAATAATCCTTTAGAAATGGACTTCCGATTAGTCTATTTAACAGAAACATCTGGTTGTGTTGAGATCTTTTAACCTTGGAAATGAAATTAGAAATCTCAAGTTTAAGTAATTTCTAATTATTTTATCTGGGTCACAGATAATCTACTCTTCATAGGTCTAAAATGACATCTGATTATCATTACTATGATTATCCTGCTACCTCCTACTACTAATTTGGTATACTGCCTCCCTAAAACCTCACGTTTTTTAGAGACAGCATTTGTTTTGCTTATTTGTTCTCTCATATGCCTATGTTTAAGCTATGCCCTTAAAAAGTTTATAGTAGTTGACAGTAGCAGATAATGAAATGACAGCCTCATTAGTGTTTTCCCAAAGTGTCTCCTGGATTTTTGGGGTACAGAGGTTAGGGAAAGAGAAAGACTCCCATGCAATGATTAAATTTACTGATTCCTTCTATTTTTTCTTATATAGTATTACATGACAAATCCAGCACTTCCCTTACACTGCAGAGAGATCCTTGAATTTAGATTATAGCAAAAACATGTCCAGATGTAAAATTTTCTGTAGGTAATCTAAGTTTCATCATTAAAATGAAACAAAAATGCATTTTGTAAGGAAAGCAAGCATAATCTATATCATTAATTTTAATCAAAACATTAAATACTATTTTATTTAGATGCTAATTCATTAGATTTAAAAATTAAACACTGACTACAAAATGTTAAACAATCAAGCCTTAAATAACTTTGAATTAATGCACAGAGGAGTAAATTCTGGACCTTTTATTATTGCTATTATTAGTATTAGTATTATTATTAAATTTAAAAAGAACTTTAGTACTTAAGGTTCACTATCAAAGTCCAGGCAAATGTAAACTGATAGTAATTTTTGTTATTTGTATCCAAGAGAAAGTACAGTGACTAAAGACCAGACTAACAGATATATTCCATTCTCTCTCTTTCTCAATACTTGGACTCTTCTTGAATGTTTTACACATGTCCAATTTCTACAGACATAACCCTGTCTAGTACAGAGTGCTCCAAAAGAGTACTTTACCTATGTAGAAAGAGGTGAAACGTTTGGAGAGCATTATTTAACAAATGTGGCTTCTACTCGGTTTTAGAAATGTCACATCAGAAGTAGATCTATTTATACAATGAAATGCTGTTCCATATTATAATAAAAAGGAAAACTACAATTTGGGAATATTCACATGTTGGCTGAGTGGAACAGTCAGAATGGAACCCAATGTACAGTATACTTTCAAAATAATAATAAGTAATTACTCATCATGTCTAAGTCAGACTAGAATGCTAATTTTGTTGGGGGTTTTTTGGTACCTTTTGCTTGCAAAGCAGGCGGTGGCACCACTGAGCTAAATCCCTGGGGAGAATGCTAAAATTTCAGATTGGAATACTTAAAAGATCTTAGAACCCTAACTCTCTGAGGCTATCAGGGCTGCTAGGTGGGAAGGGAACCACACATTCAGCTATAACCCCTGACAGCCCTGATTGAGTAACGCGCATTCAGCTGCAATGCTCCGAAATGTCCATTTCCATTCAGAGTAAGAATCTGTGGAAATCTGAAAAATTTTGTAGTACTATAGGCTATAAAAACATCAATGTTTGGTAAACTCAAAAGATACAAGCATAACCTGGCAATTTTGACATGATTTATAAACTGGATTAAGTTTATTATCATAAAGTAATTATGAATGAGCATAAAAGCAGAGAAAAGATTTTAGAGGAATACCCTCAACTTTAGCATTATTACTAATACCATGCTATTTATCATCATTATTAGAGAAATCACAAGATTAGAAAATATTTCAAACTGAATTAACAATATATATAATATATAATGAATATATATATTCAAGCATATTTCACAAATATCCATGAATAGCCAATAAGCATATGAAGAAAGTTTTAAAATTATTACTCATCAGGAAAATGTAAAACAAGATACTATTAAAAGCCACCAGAACAACAATTGAAAAGACTACCAACAGAAAAAGATAATGAAGCTATAAAACAACCAGAATTCTCATATATTGGCAGGAATGCAAAATGGTGTAATCATTTTAGTAAAAGGTCCAACATTTTTCGTAAAAAAATGAACCGATCTTATGTAACACAGTAACTTTATTTCTACAATATGTTCATTGTCCCATTAAAACAAACAAACAAACAAACCCCGCACCCTTTAGCTATCATCTCAGGCCCCCAGCACTAGGCAATCACAAGTCTATTTTCTGTCTCTGTAGATTTGCCCATTCTACACATTTCATTTAATGGAAGCACGTAAGTGGTCTTCTTCAGTTAATAGGCTTCATGCCACTATATTCATCCATGTTGTAGCAAGGATCAGTACTTCATTGCTTTTTGCATTTTCATGAACAAATAATATTCTATTGTATGGCTACACCACATTTTATGTATTCATTCAGTTTTAGGCCATTATGAATAATGCTGCTATATTCATGTATGAGTTTCTGTGTGGACATAGGACTGGAATTGCTGAGTCTAATGCTAACTCTAACTTTTCAAAGAACTGCCAGAGTTTTAGCATTGCATAAGAGTTCTGGTTCTTCTACATCTTCACCAGTGATTGTTTATTAACTGTCTTTTTTATACAGCTGTTCACATGGCTTTAAAGCAGTATGTCATCATGGCTTTCACTTGCATTTCCAGGAAGACTAATGAGGTTTAGCATATTTCCGTGTGCTTACTGTTCATTTATATATTTTCTTTAGATTAATCATTTGACTATATTTGAATTGGGCTCTTTAGTACTGAGTTATAAAAGTTCTTTATATATTCTACATACAAGTCCCTGGTCAGATCTGTGATTTCCAGATATTTTCTCTCATTCTCTAAGCGGTCTTTCTGCTTTCTCAACAGTGTCCTTTGAGGCACAAATGTTTATACCTTTAAGTCCAATTTATCCATTTTTTCTTTGGTAGTTTACGCTTTTGGTGTCATATCTAAGACAATACCATTGCCAAATCCAAGGTCACTGAAGTTTACTCCTATGTTTCCATATACTGTGAAGTAGGGGGTCAACTTCAATTCTTTTGCATGTGGATATCTAGTTGTCCCTGCACAAGTTGCTGAAAGACTGTTCTTTCACCACTGGACAGTCCTGGCACACTTGTGTAAAACCAAATGACCATACATATGTACACGGTCTATGTACAGTTGGCCCTATATATCTGTGGCTTCCACATTCATAGATTTAACTAAATGTGGATCAAAACTATTTCAGCAATAATTTACATATACATACTGTTTCTCCTGTCATTATTCCCTACACAATACAGTTTAGCAATGACTTACATGGCATTTATACTACACTAGGTATTATAACTTAATAATCACTTAGCATATTAATAAATCAATAAGTACATACAAAAAGGAAAAAGACATAATGGCAGGTAAGGTGCTGCATACTTGTAATCCCAGCATTCTGAAAGGCTGAGGCAAAAGGATGGTAAGTTTGAGCCCAACTTAGGGAGATCCTGTCTCAAAATTTAAAAAAATAACAAAAAACAGGCTCAGTGAAAAAGCCCTGGGTACTGTAAAAAAACAAAACGGATCTGTATGTACACTCTACACCTACTATTACCTACTATAACTACTTTAAAATTATATAGGCACATGAAACTGAAAATAAGTCTTATGGGTAATTTTCTCCTTTGATTTCTAAGTTTTTTGTAACTTTCAGAATTAAGTCCCTGATTAGGTAATATGCTCATACAATGCCATTTTACATTAAAAATATACTTACAGTGATGATGCCAATTAGTTGCGTATAAAAGAGTCCAGTTATTCCAACAAACATAGTAATCCCCATAAAGGCAGCGAGCCTCATGATGGCCAATTCATGTCGAAAAACAAAGAGGTCCTATAAGGAAAAAGGAAAAGAACTCTTAAGAACAATTCAAATAGTTGCTTAGTGTTGCCATAATCATCAGATTTGAACTATAACACATGTCCTTTATTATCACAAAAGAACTACCGCCCTCCCTCTCTTTTGAGAGCATTCCACTTAACGTGTAAACATCTGAAATTTTGAAAACTAAATTTTAAATTTACAGTAGAAAGCTGAAAAATATAGGGTGTTTCTGCAGGCAAGGTGGTGCACGCCTGTCATCCAGCACATGGGGGGCCAAGGCAGGAGGATCACCACAAGTCTAAGAGGCTCAACTACATAGTGAGTTCCAGGCCAGTCTAAACCACAGAGCAAGACCATCTCAAAAAAAAAAGTAGGATTTTTTTTATTGTGTCAAAAAAAACTCAATCTCACAGTTTCAAGTTGCCCTTATTTGAATCTATCTGTGACAGACAAAACATACATTATGTAATATTTGGTTTATGAAGAAAATTTCATTATTGTACTGCTAAAAAATTTTGAATGCACAAGCATAAGTCACTTTAGCAAAGGAACAATACTAAGGTCATGCCTTCAAGTGACCAGAATACCTAAATGTTACCTACCCTTACACTTTTCCATCCCAGCACTCACCCAGCACTGGTGAGGGCTATGAGATGTAATGGAATTGCACAAATAGAAAGATACGGTCCATGCTATCACAAGGTATGCGGTTTATTAGAGAAAACCCAACTTTGCAAGCTTCCAAAACACAATCCGTGCTGTGATGGGGCGATCCCCCAGAGCACTGCAGAAATCAAAAGGAATTTGCAGAAGAAACAGAAGTGCTAGCTAGGGCTGGGGATGTAGCTCAGTGGCACTGCGTCTGCACTGAAAGTGCAAGGCCCTGAGTTCGATTTTCTACAAAAAAAATTTTTTTTTTTAAAGAAATGGAAGTACTGTGAGGAAGGGCTGATTTTACAGGTCTGGGTACAAAAATGAGTCCTGAATGTGAACAGATACTCTAAAAGGACAGGAGAACAAGCATTTCATTCAACATTACTGCTACTAACCAAACAAACCAGAGGAGAGGAAGAGTCAAAGAACTAAGGTTTCTCTGGAAACCCACTGCTTCTAAGCTTTGCAGTAAACAAGCTACAGCTGATAAAAGTGTGTTGGAAGACAAGTGTGCTGGAAGAACCCCCAAATCATAACTACCCACACACTTTCTTTCAAATTGATCTAAGTTAAGGATTAAAGGTATCCTGGTAGCAGTATCAAAAGTTAGAGGTCACTGAAGAGAATTTGCTACCTTGAAACAAAAGAACTGATATCTTCTGTGTATCACATTGATAAGCTACTAGTCTGAAGCAAATATCTGGTTCTACATCTAAATCACTTATTTTTTTAAGCCTGGAAAAACTTAAAATTCACTAAGAGAAAGTGTTGTGTAGCAAATATTAGGAAATCATTTCAAAATGTCAGTAAAAAGATCCTAATTCAGAATCCTTATAAAACACAAATGATAACATGGGACTGGGAGTAATATAAAATGTAACTACAGTTAAGTTCTGCTGTAATACAGAACACAAATTTGTTCCAACCTGACTAATATGTGTTTCTTATGCATGATGTTATCTGCAAGAAACCCTAGACGAAAACTACCCTGGCATGTAGGGATACACAAACCACACAGTTCTCCAGTATCCCCTAGCTCCCTGCATCTGTCATGTGTGATCAATCAGGCCGATCTGCATGTTGCTACAACTCTCCCTCCAATTTCAGAGACCTTCCTTCCCTCACTACAACAACTTACAGTGTGCAACCCTTCTGATAGCCACTTTCACAAGAGGCGTCTCTCAAAGTGAAGTGCAACATTTATCATGTCTGTATTTCTTAACTATGTAACATATATAAAACTGTGCTGCCATTTTTTTTTTTTTTTTTTTTTGTTCCAGGGATTAAATTCGGGACCTTATGCTTGCGAGGCAGGTGGCAGAATCACCAAGCTAAATCTCCGGCCCTGTGCTGCCATTTTTATTTTTTTATTTTTTATTTTTTTATTTTTTTTTTTTTTTGGTACCGAGGATCGAACTCGGGTCCTTGAGCTTGCACACCTGTGCTGCCGTTTTATTAGGTTATTATCCTCTTATGTGTCATTGACAAAGTTTTTGAGTGTTGTGTCTCCATTTTTCCATAAGATCTGTGCTTTTATTACATGGTTTTATATAGGGAAGTGGCTTTAGAACTGTAGACACTACATTATAGCACAGCTTACTATACTAAAATTATTACTTTACCAGATAAAATCCATCCTCTCTTCTCCTAATGAAAAGATTTAAAAAAAATTTTTTTTGACCAACTACAATTTATAAATGTCAGGAATGGTGAAGACACTAAAAAATCTAATTACAGGAGGGAGGGGAAGGGTGGAAAGAGGATGAAAAAAGGAATTCAGATGTGTTATATACATGTACAAGCTCCACGCAAGGAATGTAAACATTATGTACTACAAACATGTACAACAAAAACAAAAGGAAGGTGATCAAGAGATGGATAGAGGTTAAAAAGGAAGAAAGAGAAAAGGCATGAAAAAAAGGAATTAAGATGTATTATGTACATGTAACAACTCCCCATAAGGAATGTAAACATATACTACAAATATGTACTAATACAGATAATGATCTGGGGGGAAAAAAAGAATGCAGAGCCCAAAAGGACTCAATCAGAGGTAATCAAATATGATTTACTGCCACTACCACAATTCCATCCAGTGCTGGCCACTCAGAGGTTTCGTTGGTATGATGGAAGAAATTGCTTTTTATCACTTTTATATTTTGAAAAAAACAATTGTATTCCACGTTCACACATGTATAACTAACATCAACACTGAATTCATATTTTAAGTCATTTAACACTGTTTCCACAGCACATTTTTACTTCTGTCTTACATATTTTTAGAGACTGCACTTTCTGAATCTTAAAATTGCCTTAGGAAATTTTATCAAAATCAAAAGGACCTATGTGGTATTTAAAATCTTTATTATATAGTAAATCTTATAGGCTGGACTTGTCCACTCAACAATCATATGATAAAGTCCTAACCTCCAGTAACTCAAAATGTAACTATATTTGGAGACAGAATCTCTAAAGCAGTGATAAGTTAGAATGATACCCTTAGGGTGGGCACTGATCCAAATAGACTGCTTCTTAGAAGAAATCTGGACACACAAAGGAACTCGAGGACTATTTCCTCAGGGAGGAGACCATGTGAGGACACAGTCTCATCTGCAAGCCAAGGACAGAGCCCCAAGGTGAAACCAAATCTACCGACACCATAATCTTGGACTTCAGGCATCAGAACCCGGAGAAAAATGAATTTCTGTTTAAGCTACCTGGTCTGCGGGTCTCTGATATTTTGTTATGGTAGCCTCAGCAAAGTAAAATAATCAGTAACTATACAGTATTTATATGGTTTTAATTTCTTACTCTTTTACACACAAAAATAATAACTGACAAACTACCAATATGTTAACTTAGAAAAAGTACTAAGTTATTTTGCAACTCTTAAAAAAAACCCATATTTTTATTATTCAAGCTAACTTACCTCCAAGTTACAAAAGCTACAAATTTTGGTTTAAAAACCTCTTCTCTACAGCTGCCTCGATTTATTTTGCTATGCTTCTTACTCTTTCTTAACAATTATGCCTACTTACAGATAAATGCATAAAACATGTTCATTTTAAAGAAAAGTAATTCTGTTCCCTCCAATTTGAGGACATTTGAAATCACACACAGCCTTCCATGCATTCTTTCCCCATCACAATCTCCCCCACCCTCAGCCTAAAAGTAAAGGTTAGTGATTAATTGTTCACACATTTCAAGTACTATGATTCAGATGCATATTGCAAATACAGTATCTTCTCCTATTTTGAAATTATCTGTCCACTCTCTTTGTAGTATCTCTTGATAAATTCAAGTTCTTGATTTCACTGTAGTCCAATGCATCTTTTCTATTAGTACTTTTTATATCCTCTTTAAGAAATCTTTCTTGACCCTGATAATATTCTTCTATATGTATTATCTTCCAAAGCCTTTTAAAAGCTTTAAAAGTTTGTCTTTTCTTTATGTCACTAATCCCCCTAGAATTGATGGGTTTGGTGCTTTTATTTCTGTTTTCGCAGAGTGAAAGGCAGGGATCTAAATTTTATTATATAAATATTCAATTGTTCCAGGATCATTTAAAGTTGTTTTTTATATACAGATATCAAGTATCATACATGTATGGATCCAATTTGGCCTGGGTATTCAGTTCCATTAGTTTATTTATTCATCCCTGTACAAGTGACAAGTGTCTTGGTTACTATGGCTTGAGAATAAATCTTGGTACTAGGTAGGACAAGTGATACTATCCTACTGTTTTGTAAGAATATCCTGGTGACTCAAGATAATATACATTTTTACAAGTTTTAAAGTTAGATTTTCTAGTTACAATACACATTCCAGTATACTTCCACAGAAAACATACTCTCTCCATTAGGTTTCCAAAATCCCCTTTAGAAGTCTTGTACTTTTTTATCAGGTTTAATTCAAGAACTTTTTTGAGTCAGCAGTTATTTTGCTGCTGCTGTTTTGGTCTGCTTGTTTTTGAGATAGGGTCTCACTATGTAGCTCAGGCTGGCCTTGAACTCATAATCTTGCCCAAAGATCACAGGCATGCATCATCATGACCGACTCTTTCTGTTTTGTTTTTTCTATTAATAGCATTTTCTATTAATTTCACTGACTAAAGGTTTGTTTAATATACAGACATATGGTTTTTATAAATATTGATTTGAAGTCATATTTTTAAAACTTTCTTTAAAATTCAAAAGTTTACAATTATTTACACTTTTTTAAAAAAACTGTAAGCAATGCGTTTTCTTTCTTTTTCTTGCCCTACCGCACTGGTTGGAACTTTTAGCACTATCTTTAATAAAAATGGTAAGTGAGCCACACTATCTTGTCTGCCCCAACTCAGAGGGAAAGTTGTC